GGGTTAAAGCACAGCTCTGTGAAGCTATTCACAGCCACTGCCACACGAGTTTGTTCCCTGGCCAGTGGGGGTGAGGGGCGGTGACCTACATGGCACAGCAGACCTCTCCTGACCTGCCCGCTGCTCCCCTCAGCAGTGTATTTCAGTCATTCTGCCAGTTCTGCTGCTCATTCTGTTTCTGGTGAATCCTCTCACCGCCCACATCTTTGGCCTACACCCCAGCTCTTACATGCATAAATAAGTAAATCTTTAAACAAAAAAGGGGAGCTGGTCTGGTCTCTTCCTACTTATCCATGGACAACTAAACAACTCTGCTTCACCACCATCTTTCTCATCCCCAAAAGATGTTTTTTGCATCGGGATCGTAGCTTCCCGCCTCCTGTACCTGTAGATTTCCTTTTCACATGTAATGTTATTATCCACATCATCACTATCTGCTTGAGCAGGGTTTTTATTTCTATGACTATGTTTACTTTTCAAAATCGTCCAGGATTTACTCGGAGTGTCATTCTCTTTTATGATTTCCTTTCCTTTTGTAAATTTTCTCTTGTATCTAGATTTACAGACTCTTTTAGATTGTTGTTCCACTATCTCAAGTTCTTGAGAGCCCTGGTGAACCTTGTTTATGCCAACTGACTCATGGCGATGTGTCATTTTCTTATGTATTTAATAGGTTTCTCATTCTGAGCATGTTTACAGTGGGACTTAAAAAAGTCTCTCCCACACCTAGCCACCCTGCATTTCATGTGATTGCTCTCTAGAGTGCCCCTCCAGATAATTATACATCACTTTCATTAGGTGTGCTGGGATATCACTGACTTTGAAACAGTCAGAGATTAACTGTCAGTGGATTCCAGTGCTGCGTGGGTGGGGACCTTTGGATTGCATTCATATTGGGCTCTGGCTTTCATCTAATATACATAGTAAGTGATCTACTCTCATGGGGCATCTTTCATTTGGGATCCATTACTAATTTAGGCCAACATTCAGTACCCAAACCTGAGGCATAACCATGTGTGTTAAAAGCTGATGGAATATTCTGGGTGTTGGGATGCATGATCAGTGAAATTGCGAGAATAGCATGGGTTGGCCTCTTCGGGCCTCTCATAGCCCCTGCCCTGGTCATACCTCACGGCAAGCAGGCATTTGCTAGCCTCCCCGTGATTCAGAGAAGGAACTTGATGTCCACAGAGGTAAGTGACTTGCCCTAGAACACAGAGTGGTGAAAAGCTTCCAGGCTTCCAGTAACCCTTTCCAAGTTCCATTTACCCAGGGATTGAGTCTTGACTCCATACACCCCCAAACACCTAAGGTGCCCTTGCTTTTTCTGTGGGGACACACAAAGTTGATTGGGTGAGAAGTCGAGACCCCAGACCCTGCAGACAGCCTGCATGTCTGCAGCCTGGCTACTGTGGATTTGCTAGGTGCACACTTTGACACATATCTCTGGGTTGGGTGCACAATCGCATTTTGAAAAAGTATTTTAAATTCCTTGATTTATCTTCTTGTTGTTTTTCATAATAGTTTTCACTCAAAGGCAAGAACATGCTTTTAAACTGACCTTTTAAACTGGGTAATGCTTACGCCACAAAGGGACACATGAAAGGAACAATAAGCACATTCCCTACGTGTGAGCATAATTGAAGTCTCCTCTGGTGATGAGATCTATGGGAAATGGGCACAAAGCCTCTGAACTGGGTTGCAGCTGATGGATGGCACCCTTGGTGGAAGTCTCATGACTGGCTCGGGGAGAGAGGGGGGAAGGAGAGGTTCAGCTGTACCCGAAGCAGTGGGAACATCATCTACACCCTCTCATCACAGCTAGGAGTCACCATATACCTCGTGGCTCTGGTCTCAGAGCCAGGAGGCCCACTTGGAAGGTTTGGACTTTGTTCTGTGGTCCGCAGGACGTCAGGGAGGTTTGGGACAGGGGAAGGAAGCATAAAATAAAGGAAAGAGCAAAACAGAGCTAGCTGCCTGGGTCAAGTCCTGCTCTGACATTTTGTAAGTTGTGTGACCTTGTGTGAGTCACTCAGGCACTGTGAGAGTCACTCTGGTCTCGACACCCAGTTATGGAGACTTGAGAAGATGCTGGGCTGTGAGAGAGGACGAGAGGCCACCAAGAGAACCCAGAGAACCCACAGTCCCTTGTTCTTCCTGTCTGTCTTACCATTGGTGCTCATTTCCCATGGCGGTTACAACTGATTGTACAAATTCAGCGACTTAAAACAATATGAATTTATCATCTCACTTCTTTGGAGTACCAAAGTCTGAGAGTAATTCCACTGGGCTAACGTTGTAAAGTGAAGATGTTGGCAGGCGCTCGGGGAAAACCTGTTTCCTTGCCTTTCTTGGCTACCAGTGGCCACCCACACCCTTGGCTCATGACCCCTTCCTCCCTCTCTAACGTGTACACTCCCAGCCTGTGCTTCCGTCATCACATCGCCGCTCCTGTTTGATGTCCAGACTCCTTTTCATAATTACAGTGGTCTCACTGAGTTAAGCCAGAATACGCTCTTACATCTCAAAATCCTTAAATTAATCCTATACGCAAAGTCCTTTTTGCCACATAAGAGACCATTTTTATGTCCCAGGGATTCGGACACGGATATCTTTGAGGGCCATTTTCCAGCTTACCACACCATGTCATATTGCGAATTATACCTATTCTCTTTACATGGCTGGGTCTCCCTTGGACTGGGAGATAAGCCTGCCAGATTAATGTCACACCTGCAAATGAGTGAGTGAAGTAAGGAAATGAATGCATGCTTTAGGGTTACTGGTAACATTCCAGTTGGATTTCGGAAGAATAGTATGAATTTGCCAAAAGATATTCTAGATGAAGCAAACAGCTTATGAAAAGGTCTAGAAGCACAGACTGGGAAGTTTGGCCTGGAGGAAATGCAGCTGGAGAGTGAGGGTACAAAGGATAGTGGCTTGGGGGTGGGTGGCCAGGTCATAGGTACCTCCTGAGAGTGCCCTAGTGGGCCTTGATTTTACTAAACAAGGAAACAGGATATGGTGGCCACTGCCTTTATCTTGGGAGTCATTGCCTGTGTTCAAATTCCTGTGCTGCCACTTACTTGCTGTATAATTCTAGGAAAATTACGGAACCTGGTACTGAGAAGCCAGATGCTTGAAAAATTCAACACAGTCCCTGATGCATTCATGGTCACAGTATTTGCTCTTAGTATTACTGTCAATTTTTGATAAAAAATTTATGTATGAATACAAAAACTGGGGTACAGGCCAGAGGTGAGGAGGCTGAGAAGATTCACCAGAGACAGAGTGGGGAGTAGAACAAGTGGGTCTACTGAAATACACTGCTGAGGGGAACAGACAGGAGACAGGAGAGGTCTGCTGTGCCATGGGTTTCAGCAACCTGCCAGGGAATCGAACTGATGGTGTAATAGCTAGATAGCTTTACAGTGCTGAAACTTAGCCCCTTGCGCCATCAGGGAGGCTCTATTACTGTCATGTTTTATAAGTTGATTGTTGATGATGGTGATGGGAAGCCTTTGAAGCAATTCAGCCAGGCAGTGTTGTGGTCTGATTTGTTCTTTAGAAAGATGCCTTAGCTAGCTATGTCGAGATGGAGGGGATCAGTGTGGGAACGGGGCATCACACTGGGGGTGTGAACCTGCTAGCAGGCCACTATAATGATCTGGGGGGCGTGATGAGGCAGAGAGCAGAGATGGGCACAGAGAGAGGTGATTGCTGCTGGGCTGTCCAGAGAGGCCTTTGCTCCTGCCGCCCCTATTTGAAATGGTTTGCGGCAGGCTTTAGAGGCCGCCTAGGACCTGAGCCTCCATGTTTACTTTTCGGTGTCCTTACACTGAGGTACAAGGTCTCCAGACGAAACAGTGACAGAGGAGAGAGTGTGGGCGTGGGGGCACTTGGGCCTGCCTTTTGAGTGGAACTATGGGGGTGGGAGCCATCTGTCTGGGGAGGCTTCTGTGAAAGTGAGTCCCCACTGCTGGGGCTTGGGAGTCACAGCAGCCCTGCATCGACTCCCTCTTTCACATTCTACTGCCCAGCTTCAGTTCCCAGTGCATTCTTTCACCCTTTTCTACAGGAACACTCCCAGAATCCCTGTAGTATAGGGACACGGGACTTTTGTGGTGTTGAATGAAGGAGATTGGGCTCAACTGAGTGGGGAGGGCTGGGGGAGGATTGGGATCGGCAGCGCAGGAGGAGAAAGAGTGCTTGTCCAGCTCAGAGAAAGAAGCCAGAGCACAAAGCAGTACGTGCCCGGGCATTCGGTACTGCGTGTCCTCCATGGTCTTCCACGAACGCCCCTCCATACATCTTCAGGAGGAAGCCAATTCAATAGAATGTGCCATAGCAAGATTACAATTGTTACTTCAATCCTATCGGACCCTGCAAGGATGTTGGAGGAAAATATATTTCAATGCTATGTTCAAAAGAGCTGTCATTTTTAACATAGTAAATGCGTTTTTGAGAGAGTGATGTAATATTGTTATTTTTAGCACGTTCTTTTTTAAAAAATGGTTTTACTTTAGTTCAGATCAATGCATACTGGAAGGGGAACAAAACAACTGAAGAGAGGTAAAATGCAGGCAGGCCATTTTAAGAATGCTTTGCTTGGACCTGGCTGAATTTACAAATCAGACACATGGGGACAAGTTTTGAGATAACAGGATGTAGGGTAGGTTCTTTAGTGCGTTTCAGAGTTTGCTTATAAATAACTGTTGATAGCTTTGTAAGAAAGCTGGGAGAAAGGAAAAAAAAAAAAAACTCGTGTAGTGATGACAGGAACTGTGTGTGTGTATATGTTTATGAACTCAGATTTTATTTTCTCCACTATGGAACCCGTGTCAGCGAGGGAGCGTGACCGGTGCAAAGCACACACAGTGTCAGCCAGAGCCCACGAGAACATGGAACTTCCCCTGGCCCTCTGCAGTACTCTCCCAGTGTCCCCTGCTTTTGTGTTTCTCTGTCATTTGCTTCTAGCACATTGACATTTTCTTTTTTCCTAGGAAAAACCAGTTGCCAGTGTCCAACAAGGCCGATGGGGAGCTGGGTGCCCTGCAGCTTGGTAGGTGTGGCTGGTGCTTCTGGACTCTGCCCCTCAGGCCCACAGCCTTGTTTGCTCTGTCTGGGGGTGGGGTGGGGAGGTGGCGGTGGGACAGGTGTGGTGGGCTCTCCACTGGCTGGGCTGGGAGCCTCTGTCCTCTGACTGACCTTGCTAAAAGAACTTGGCCCAGTGCATGAGTGAGTGTTGCAGACTTCTCTTTTTCTAGCTGATGTTGTCTTCCACGGCCCACTGTTCTGGAGAAATCATTCTAAGAAGTCTAGTGATTTCAAGATCTGCACGGAGGCGGGGGG